AACCGGGGCCCTCTGGCGTCCCAAGCCAGCTCTTACCCAATGTGCCACTCAGCCGGGCCTGTAAATATCTTTTTGTTTTCCAATGGTCTTAGGTGACCCCTGTGAAAGGGTCGTTCAACCCCCAAAGGGGTCGTGACCCACAGGTTGAGAACCGCTGGCTTAGGCTCTCTCTGCCTAATTTGGTGCATTTATTGCATTTGGCTTCCCAGTACCAGTCCTTCTCCCCCACCCTCAGGCTTATGGTTTAAACACGTGGGCCACTTACTAAGATCTTGTCCAATTCCTGGGCTTAGGAGGAAAATGGAACCCCTGAAAGAGCCATCATTCCTTCCTTGATGGCACCTCACAGTTATTGGGTGGGAAGTTCTTGAAGGGCCCAGCAGTCCTACCTTACCTTCTCTGACTGCTGATATCTACAGGTGATGCAGTTTTCCAGCAGCTAGGTTATCTCAAGGGCTACCAGTTCATTCCCATTTTCTTACCTGCCCTCCATAAACAACTGGTCCTTCTGCCTCGGCCTGTTACCGCTTGTGCCTTCATGCTGCAGTTAAACCTCCACAGTGCAACTGCATCACGCTGGTGCCCCAACCCAGAACCATTCCAAGTGCCGCAAGGTGAGAACCAATTTAGGGCAGGAGGGGTTTTGCCTTTTAGGCCCACGGCACCGGCTGGGACTTCTGACCATGTTTACCACACTTCTTGGATAAGCTGTTTGAAAGCCTGTTAACCACAGGGAATCTTGGACCTCACCATTCAGTAGAGCCAGCCAATATAATCTGCCTTTGTGCAAGTGTCAGAGTCTAGCTTCTTTCTCAGATGGCCACTCGGGGGCAGCAGAGCAACAGGAGCTAAGCTAGGAGGGGCTGCTTGTCAGCCCAGGAAGCAGACAGCTGAACGCGTTCTACCTCCAGCTCTGCTCCCAAGGACGCTGCCACCTAACAATGGTACTGAGCCTCTAGAAGAGGTACCACAGTAGAGCTGGTGGGATTTATACAAGAGCCAGACCTTCCTCAGAGACACATTACCACTAGTTACAATTGTTTCCCATAGTGGGAGACTTACTTACCTCACTTAGTTAAAATTTCAGTTTACCAAGCTCCACCTCAGACCAACTCCCAGGGAAAGGGCCTGGAAATATATACTTAAGCTTGCCAGGATTCTTTCCAGGAAAAGTTAGGACTTTCATTATGGGGACTCTTAATTCCATACCTCATTGGCAACTTTCTATTCTGAATGGGTATTTTGAACAGGCCCATGGAAATGGCATAAGGTGTGGCCTGGAATCTCCAACAATAGATTGTTAACTAAGCAATTAAGAATGTGGCAGGTTATTTGAGGGTGGGGGTTGGGGTGAAGTAAAGAGGGAAGCTGGCTTTCAGTACTACTCAACCTACAAGTTGGAAATTGGGAACGAATGTCTTACTGCTGCCCCTGAAAAGAAATGCATCTAAGCCTCTCCCTTAGCTGATGTTCCGGATCAAAGAATCTGGGGTAGAAGAAAGAATTACATTAATACTGCACCATGCAGAGAAATGTCCAAAGAGCGTGGGGGAGGGGTCACCGTTCTCCTCCAGTGCCCCTCACCCTATACCATTCCTCAGTAATGCTGTAGCTGGGGTTCCTGAGCAGACACAGAGAACTGTCAAGTAGTTGCTATTCCTCCCCGTGGCTCCTCTCTTTGGAAGAGCTTTGATTTTTGCCTCAACAGCATTTTACACCAAATCAGTATCATCCACAAGTCACACCAACATTTCTTCAGCATCGCATTTTATTTTTTAGGGGAAAGAATAGAAAGAGCAAGGAGGGGAGGAAAAACAGGGTCCCACCGGGGTCTCCGAAGTGTATGAGGCTGGTACCAGAAGGACGTGTGGGGTGACAGAGCCCAAAAGAGAAGACCCAGGTCTTCAAGATTCTCTTTTCTACTGGTTTCTATCCGCTAATGAAAACGACATGACATATGTGTAATTGCCTAGCACACGGTATTCAATAAATGTCAGTTGCCTTTTCTAGCAGGGTGCTCCACAAGCTGGGCTCTACCCAGACATCATCCTCCTCCTTTCAGGGAGTGAAGGTCACCAGAAAATCAGGGAACTAAAAGAGCAGCAGTTTGGGTAATGCAGCTGGCTAGCTGACTCAGTGCCAGGCCTTCCCATCTCCCCATCCTCCCCACCCCACTATGCCCGGGTGGGGCTGAGAGTACAGTTTCCCAAGTGGCTTTCCTGAGGCCTGGCCAGCTTGTCCTAGAAGATTCAGTTGGAGGGCCACGGGTTGCAACTCGCTAGTGCAAAGTCCTCTCTTTTTGGCGGTGATAATCTGGGGGAAAGAAGAGAGGAGGCAAAAAGCAGGTCATTTTCAGACCTGAGCATGCAATTCCCCATCTCCAACTGGTGGGGCCTCTAACCATCAGTACTTAAGAGTTCCTCCCCAGGGCCCTGCCAGCTAGGTACAAAGAGTGACTTACTGTAGGGAAAGAAGCGGACACGCATGCTGATTTCACGGGCTGTCTTCAGGATCTCAACGGCCTGAAAGGAACACAGCAGCTTGTACAAATGAAGAGATATGGCCCAGGACAGACTCATAACAGGAGAAAAGTAGTTTGCCACTCCAGCCTTCTGGGTCTCTAATCGCTGCTTCCGTCTGGTACATTTCCCCAGGAGAGTCTTTCTTAACAAGTTATAGATTAGGCTAATCCTGTCCAACTTGTCCTACCTGGGGCAGCTTCTTGCCTCACCACAGCCAGAGTGCTGTGCTCACCTTGCTATGCT